GTGATTTTACCAGATATTAGATGTAATTTAACAAAACAGGGAACAAATGTAAAAAAAAAAAAAAAAAGTAAAATTCTTTAAACTGCTAAAACATTGATCTTTTTTACAGTGTATTTGGCACAAATATTCCAAAACAACCAACAAAGTTAATTAAATTGAGCTACAGTCTGATTTAGTGATTTAGTTCTTAAGCTCTTTGTGAATACAAACACAAAGACTTGATAAAAGTGTGTTTCAGATGTTTGAAACAACTAAAAGTTGGACTGATGGAGGTTGAAAGTGTTCTGATTTCTGCAGGAACTGGTGTCAGAAGATCTAAAAAAAGCTGAGGAGGAGGAGACGCGCTTCAGGGCTTCAGAACATCAACACTGTGGATCTCAGTGTTTCTGTTTTAGCTGCAGCACCAGACAGAAGATCAGCTCAGATCAGATCAGAGGTTTAAGTCTCCGTCGGGGGCGTGCAGGGACATGGTGGGCGTCCATTGTCTCCGGCACTCGGTGTTCCTCCACAACCACATGTGTTTTTCACTTTCCAGCTGCAGCAGCTCGCTCTGTCATTACTGTCGTAGTGAAAGGAGGCAGGAAAAGTGAGTCACGGCTGCAAACCACCAGCCAGAAACGGGAACCTGATCCCGCCGTGAGCTGAATGTGGCTCAACGGACCGTCTGCCCAACACTGGAGCACGACTGGGTGTGGCTTCCTCCACCGATTCAGGCGGCTGCTGCAGAGAAAAGGCCGCTTTGTGATCCTCCGAGCCTTCAAAAGGGCGAAATAATCAACGGAAAGCTCGAGGCTGAAGAGACAACAGAGGCTGGCATCAAGGCTGAAGGAGAAAAACCAGCAGGAGGCCTCTGGGGGAGCCGCTGCTGGTTTACGAGTTCTGCAACGACGTGAGGAAAGTCTGCCATGTGCGATAGCATTGTTCATGTTAAAGTGTTGTAGCTAGCCTCGTTCTGCTCGTAAACTGCTAACACACGACCCAACAGGCTCAGGAAGAGTACAGGAACACAAAGTTGTGTTCAGGTAAAGTTGGAAAACAAAAAATCAGATTTCTGATTTCATAAAAATGGGGATCATAAGTGGTGCTATGAGCTTAAAATACAACAAACTGACTGGACAGGGCTGGAAGCAAACACCTGATTTTCAACTTCTCAGCAAATAAACAACAACAACGGCTGATAAACCCGACAAGAAGCACTAAAGACCCAGTTAGCATGTGTCTAGGTAACATGTGAAACTACTACGTCATGAATTTAGCTTCATTTACTTTAGTTTTGCCTCCATTAAAGGTCAACATTTATATAAAAATACAGTTTTACTGCCATGAAATCAGAGTGGCTAACGGGCTGGGTTAATCAGATGCACTGATAATGAACGTTATCCACGTTCGTCGCCTCCAGTTGTTCAGGAGTGTTTCCTCTGAGCTGATTGGAAGCATCAGGATCAATATGAGCGTCGTGAACAGCACAAGTAGCCAGATTAATCCCCGACATGGAGCCAGGACGGAGCAGCAACGATAAACGTCGTGTCTGTTTTATGATGCTCTGATGATGTTATATTTCCGTTTTACTGGTAACGTCTGATCCCTCCCCTAAAGCTAAACCAGTTCTCCGTCTCGTTGAGTCTTTTGCTCTTTTTCAGCCTCAGCAGCAGCAGCCTGCAGCCTGTTCTGTGCACCGCTGCTTCCTATAACCACATATAGACCACGACCCGATTCATCTCTGAAGCAACGACACAAACAAAGCAACACGTTGCCGAGTGACGACGAAAACACGTCTTCTGTCGGCATCCGCTGCCTCAGTTTGATGAATTATGATCATAATTAGTTTTCAGCATCAGAGAAACAAAACGATAATAACAGACGTTGTAGCTCCGCAGTCTGCAGGTCCAGGATCAGTACTGAACTTATTATACAGGTATTGGTG